GTGTACAAATGCAGATTAAAGTAAGACCATCTGATTCTCCTGACAAACATCCACACAATTTCAAAGTACACTTAACCTGGCTAAGACTAAGATACCTTTCATCCCATCCAGGTCCTTCCCGTTGCAACACCTCTCCCTCATCGTACATTCTACAAGTCTTTTCACCAATGCCACAGTCAAAAGCCTTGGTATAATACTTGATAGCAAACTGTCCTTCTCTTCTCAGATTACAGTAGTGAGTCAGATGTGCAGATTCTTTTTGTACAACATTCAAAGGGTCCACCCCTACCTCAATACATATTCTTCACAGTTCCTAGTTCAGGCCCTGATCCTCTCATGCCTGGACTACTGTAACTCCCTCTTTGCTTGTCTTTCTGCCTGTGCCATCACACCCCTACAACTGATCCAGAATTCAGCTGCATGACTTGTCTACAGTCTTCTCACTTAGCTTCATTGGCTTCCTGTTATTGCTCACATAAAGTTCAAAACCTTGGTGCTGGCATGCAGCACAGTGAATGGGACAGCCCCCTCATAACTACAACCGGTCTTCAAACCATATGTTCCACTAAGATCACTACGCTCACTATCCGTGAGGCAACTGACTGTCCCATCCCAAAAGTGGTCACTCCTCTCAGACACAATCCCTGTCTGTAGTGGTCCCTCAGTGGTGGAATGAACTCCCCACAGGGTTCAGGACAGCAGAATCACTGGCCATCTTCCAACACAGACTGAAGACTCACCTCTTCAGACTGCATCTCGCTTCCACCTCAATCCCCACCCCCTAACACCTGCTATTTCTAGTACTTGCTGTTTATTTTACGTGTAGTATTGCCATATGTTTTGGGTTATGTGATCTAGTGATTGATGTATGGTAGTATACTTGGCTTCCCTTGTCTAGTCAGGTTGCGCTCACTCACTGGGACACTCTCTGGTCTGGGAGTGTTGTTAGCCTGGCCTGACACTGTTGCTCATCCAACTTGCAAACACTTATGTTCTTTTGTGCTGGAAGTGGCTCTGGATAAGAGCGTCTGCCAAATTAAAGTAATGTAATGTAATGTAAACACACAGTCTGTAACCAAAAGTAAAAATGACAGAAAAAATTCTGTTTGAAACAATGTCCCTCTATTTACTGTTCATCTGAAGACTAATAAGATCATAGAAAATGAAGCTTTGCTCTGGTGCTGTCGTGTGGAGATTCTGCAGTACTGATCATGTGTGATGGGTGAGTACATTCATAATGTGCTGTGGAACTAACTACTGTGGTATTTAGTAAACATCACAAACTGTAGGTGTAGAAATGCAGATCAAAGTAAGAATGTCTGATTTTCCTTCTTAAGTTTCACCCCACAGACCCCCTACAGCTGAATAACTGTATACTCAGTTATTTACACTGAAGAGATCTTTCACCCACAATAAGATGAGAAACAACTTGCTTACCTTTCTCTGTTGACAACTTATCTGTCAATGACAAAAAACAAAGTAAGTATTCAAGAAAGTATTCAAAATGTTTTCCCCATGAAGTCCAACCACCTAAACTGACCTTACCTATGCTAGGTTTTGTGGCACTTTGAAATTCCTGCTGCTTTCCTCCACCACACTGACATGCCTCCAGTGACTGTTTTTCACACATATCCCATAATGCACCACAGCAGAGCAAACGCCAATACAAATGTTTACAATGATGTGTTTACAAGTCCTGGACCGGGACATTTCATAATCACGTAACAGACATGAATCAGTGTCTCACCTTTCTTTCTGTGCAGTTTCACATGGCGATAGATTAGAACAGCAAGTCCTATTATAGCAAGAGTGAAAAACACAGCGAAAGCCACCATCCAGGGATGGGCACGATGGAACATCTCAGCTGAAACAGATAGGGTGACACATTAATATTCTTCATTCATTCATTGGTTCATTCATTCTTCCATCAATTCATTCATTCATTAAGCTTTCATTCATTCTCCATCTAATGTCAGTACTCCGGCCCCCTAGCTGTTGTTTTGATGTTCTCCCTGTCTGTCAATGTGGTCCATGTGCCTTTGTTTACTGTTCCCATCTGTTCCAGCCCTGCCCCGCTCTCCACCCCTGTCCCCGCCCACCTGATTCCCTGATCATGTCCGCCTGCCTGCCTGCCCACCTGATTCCCATCTTCTCGTCAGCCCAGCCCTATATATACCCTGCTTGTCTCTGTCTTGTTGCCAGTTTGTTGCAGTGTTTTCCCTGTTGTGTACCTGCCTATTTGCTTGTGTTGCTGGCTCTTGTTTTGACTCCTACCTTGTCCCTGCCTGCTGTCCTGCCATGGTTGTCTTATCGGCCTGTCTGCCTGGTTTTGAGCCAGCCTGTTTCTGTTTTTGATCCCTGCTCCTGTTTTGCCCTGCCTTGGACTGCCTTCCCGGTTTTTTGACCCTGCCTGTACTGCCACTATGAACTTACCCTGCAATTCCAATAAAACCCCCTTGGAACCTGAATACCCTGGTCTGCGTTTGAGTCCATGCCTGTGCCCTGACATCTAAAGGCTCTTTCCTCAAGACTGTGGAGGTCAAATGTTTCCCAGGATTCAGAGAAGCGCAGACTTTTAAGGAATTAACTAAAGTTACAGACAGCACACAGATGACAGTCCATGAGCATACACTGATGTTACAAATTCACTTGGACAAGAAATTCCAGGACAACTGAGATCAGGGTACTGATTAATGGTAAGATACAGCACTACATGAATAGGAAGCAGAAGTCCCTTGAATATTGCCCCAGGAAGGAGACCTGCAGGTAGGAGGAGAGGAACAGAGGGCAGAGAGAGGGGAGGAGATGGGGTATGTGAACAGCTGATATAATATGAAGGAGATATTAGTTAGTGCTTTAAATCATTTGCTGGTTTGGATTTTTTGGGGAGGGTAGGCTTGGATATAGGAATTTCCTGTCTTCTTGACCTTAATTTATTAGACTGTCATTTAGAGTATCTCTCAAATACATTGCTTTTGAGCAGATCCAGCCCATCCTGTTGACACAAAGATCAGTTTAACTGCACAGTTCCTGCTCTGGAGGGGGCTTACAAACCGTAAACCGAACAGGAATCAAACCTGGGACCCTCAAGCTCCAAGAATATATTTGAGATATATTTAAAACATATTAATGCAAATCAGATGTATATTGCAATATACTGAAACAGCAATAAAATACATTCTGTAAAATATATTCTCAATATATATTACAAGTGTGTGATTATTTAAGTGTGGAATTATATTTACACCTTGCATATACACCTACTGTGTGGGAGGGATTATTTAAAGTTGTTGGTACATAATGTTACTCACCGGGGATGTGAAACTCTGTCTCCTTCTCCTGTTTGAGCTGTTTCTGTAGAACTTGACAGGAGAATCTGTTAGTGTCTCCCTTCTGTACGATGACACTTCGTCTCACGATGAAGAGGTCCATACTGTCTCTGAGTGTCTCTGTAGGTCCAGCAGGGAGACTGTGTCCCTCACTGTCCAGCCAGATGAGTTCAGGCTCAGGATACCAGCCTTTAGATTCACACAGCAGGCCGATCCCCCCTTCTCTGTATCCCTCCATGGAGATCACTGGCTCAATTCCTACAGCTGCACAGATCACATATTTACAGATTAAAACATTTCATTTTAACATTAATTATCATTTAATTGTCTAACTCTCACTAGAACAACTGCAGAATCCAGATCTGGTGAAATAAAATAAGAACAATACATTTAAAAATAATCTCTTACTAACCTCTTACTCTCACTGAAACAAAAGCATCCTCATACCACAGCTGGGACTGAATGAAACATTTATACTGTCCATCATCAGAGCCTCGTACTCCTGTAAGCCTTAGTGAGGCATTGCCTTTCTTCAGCTCCTCTGGGAACAGTGCTGTCCTTCCTCTGTAAGATGGACTCTGTTTCTCATTTTTATTCTCTCTGTCCAGGTAAAGATACACCAGTGCATCTGCGGAGTCAGGTCTGACCCACTCCACCTCCATGTCCTCAGCGCTGATGCTGGGTTCAAGGTAACAGGGCAGAACAACATCTTCACCAGCATCAGCAACAACAGGATCAGCAGGAACAAGAATCTGGAACCTCTCTGGAGAGAACAACAGCACAGACTGAGACTGAAGCTGGACCAACAACACAGACTGAGACTGCAGCTGAGCCAAGAGCACAGACTGAGACTTGTGGTTCTACAGGAGACGCACAGTGTGTGACACAGTATCAGCTGTGCAAGACACGAACATTAGATGTCAGTGCTGCAGCCAGTGAGAGTGCAGGTGAAGATGTGCTGTACCTGGTCTGGAGACAGAGGTCTGGTGGAGGAGCAGGATAATTAAGCACAGATACTCTGACCCATCACCTTTCATCTCTGGAAGAGACAAATGCATGTACATATCTGTTACAAAGGTGGCATTTGTTATGCCTTTGTCTAAGCCTGACCATTTCTGTCTCTGCAACACATCAGAAAGAGAGACATCCTCCCTCCATTTTCTGTGCGCTTAAACAAAAGGTCATAAAACTATATCCCTCCATTATACAGCTCACTCTACAAGGTGTGGAGCCTGGTGATTGGTTGACATCTGATCCATGCTGGCCTTATAAAGGAGATCTTGCCTTGGATCTGTGGATTATGGCTGTACATTTTTCCAAAGATAAAATGTCCAGGCAGAAGTGTAACCAAAGCATGATAAGGTGAACCCCCTGATAAAAACAGCCCTGCAAAATGGCTTCCTCAGTTCCCCTGAGAGCAACTATAACTAAGTGTTTTTTAAGTAATACTTAGCCTTTATAAATAGCCTTTATGAAAGCGATAGCTAGTCATAACAGCACTTAATGAGTTCCACGGATCACCATATGCTTTCATGGTCAGTATTCATCCAAGCAATTTGTGGTGCCTGAGAGAGGCGAGACAAAAAACCTGGCTGACCTATCCCACCCTATCTGCAGAGGAACAAAGCCAGTTTCTTTTGCTGCTGGGTGCTTCTGTTCATTGACAATAAACAACAGAGCTGGGATTGAACCCAGGCCATATAGCTCAGCTTACACTCAAAGCAACTGTTTCTACCACTGAGCTACTCAGCAGCCCAGAATGTCCTTATTTGACCATTAGGAAGATCACATTTCTGAGAGTCCTTCATGGAGGACCAAGAGTAAAAAGGACTCAAGCTCAACAATTTGCTTTGGATATAAAATTTCTCCTCAGCAGTTCAGCATTTTACACTATTTTACAAATAAATCATAATGATCTGTTGATTATCTCTTCATTTGTCCATTGTGTCAGTTAACAGACATTTGAAAGAAAGGCCTGTGTTAGAAACCTGTGGAACGCTTTGGCGCACAGATCACTCTCACTTACCTGCTGTCTTCATTCCGAGCACATCGAATCCGGACACTATGGAATCTACACACTCTCTTCACACACACAGAGACCCTGTACTTTTCAGAGAAAGTAACAGCTCTAAATAAAACACCCCAGAATGTTCCCTCCTCGAGTTTGCCCTTCACAAAGGAACAGTTTTACTTTCTCTTCCTCAGGTTTTTTATTAAATGAAACATTATTCAAAGTTAATCATTAACCAGAGGAGATTTGCAAACCTCTGTGCCTGAGCTGAAGAACTGTAGGTCCTTGGAGACAGTCCAGGTGTCCAGTCCAGACAGGCAGAATACCTGATCTGGATAGTCCAAATCATACAGCTAGAATTGCTTGACACACATTATAATTCACTGCATACATGTACATATTGTGCTAAGTAATGAGAGGTTTCCCAGTTTACTTTGTATTATTATTCTTCTGTGTAGATTTGTGTTTGGGACACAACTATTACAACCAGGTCTTGTTCCCAGATCCCAGAAAATAGTAAGGTGTGGTGAGTTGCAATGCAAGACAAGCAATAAAACAAGGGCAATTCATTCAATGTCAAAGTGCACAGACTATTGTAACAATAGAAGTAAACAGTAATGGTTGCTATTGTCACTGCTTTTCCCCTAAAGGAAGTACTTTGTAAATGGCAAATATTCTAGTTAATTTTGTGTCAGCAACTCATAAAAAGCTGACATTCTACAGGTGGAAACCACTTGCATATAGTAGCTTGCTTTGCATATAGTAGTACAGTTGCTGGTTTTCACAGAGTTAACAAACTATGTGTGAGGAGACAAAGTATACAATTCCATGAACTCTCAGACTCATGTAAACAAGTGTCATCACAACAAACACCATCTGTTGGGAGAGAATGCATGAGAGGGGAGACAAATATCCCAGAATGCAGCTGAGAACCCTTACATCCCCCTCCTACCTGTGAAACTCACCTGGTTTGAGCAGTTTTTCCACACAGACCTCTGTGTGTTGCATCTATCTGAGTCTGGTCTGAGGAATGGTCTTTTGGAAATGATTCATGAGACTTTCCGAGTAAACAGCACCAGTGAAATGATGTCACGAGACATCACATCCACAGTTGTGTGCTCTTTTTAAGCAGTCTGTGTTTCTAAGTTCAAGACAATGCAGAGGCGCTGTGTCCGCAATCATAGTGGTACGGATGGGAACAGGACTCATAACTGAAAAGTTGCTGGTTCAATTCCCTGGAAGGGCACTGCTGCTGGTGGACCCTTGGGCAAAAGGTACTTAACCATCCAATTGCCTCAGATGATGAAAGCTGTATAAATGGGTGACATTATAAAAAAAACTGTAACCAATGTAAGTCACTGTGGATAACAGCATCTCCTAAATGCCAATAATGTCATGTAACCTCAATGCATTTGCTTTTAGAATTAAACCATTTCCTCTTCTCTGAGAAGACATGACAATGTTTTTTTGTGATGGCTGTGATTGCTGTATTGGGTAGTAGGTATGCCACACGCCAAATTATACGATGGTAGGGCATATTCTGTATGTAGCTATTAACATTTTGTCAAGAAAATTAAGTCACACGCTCTCCCACAAGTACCAAAAACCAAATGTAAAATGGTTGGGCTTCCTTACACAATAGCTGATATATCTTACATTTTCCAGGTATTTATAACCCAGTAACTTTATGTTGTGTGTCTAGGTCATAAAACTTAACTGAGATGCCACCTATGCCACCCGCCAAGAGTTAGTTACTGACTTACCAAGCATTAGGCCAGTGAAACACAATGACCCCAAGGTCGGACTGATTATAAACATTAACTTCTGGGCCCTCAAACCTCAGTTACAGCCACATAATAAAGGCTCAAACTTGGACAATTTTCATTAATTTTGCTGTTGTTGTTGATGCAACTTTCAGGAAAGACTCTCATTTTACAAAATGATACATTTCATTTGCAAAATGCTCTAATAAAAAAATGCAAAAAATTACATAAGCACTCAAGAAAATCAATTATTCAGAAATCAATTATTTGTCATATGATTAAAGGTTCTTCTTTATTGATCATTTCACAAAACAATAAGCCTTAGCTGAAATCATCAATAAGGCACAGCCAGCCGTGAGTGCATACTGTTTTTGCATGATCTTTTCTATGGTCTGTGTAAAATTTCTTTAAAAACAGGGGTGTGTAAGAAGTCTTTAAAATGTCTTTTAAAAGTGTTTAAAAATTGATGACTGTCTCGCACATTTTTGGACATGATTTGATCATATTTAAATTAAGCAACTTACAAAACTTGGTGTGGTGCTCTATCCATGCATCTGAGAAAGAAAAAACAACAAGAGGAGGGCATACCTTCAACCCCAAAATTCTACAGAGATTCCTTGCTCAGTGGATCCCCAAATCTCTCTGAGTCTCCAGTCTGCTACTCCCCTTCTTATATCCCTGAATGCACATAACATGCTACTATTCCACTACTGGTGTTGTAAGGTACAGTGAATACCTTTTTGGTGTTGTTACAAATGATTAGAATAATAAATGCCACTCAAAATTAACAATGCTGACACAAAACGCACCAAGCAACAGGAGTGCAAAACAGGACCATCTTCCCTAGCATGAGGGAAAAGGAAGATGTACGAGTCCTTGTAAACAGCATCTTGCTTGTTGTTCTGTGTCCGTCCTACATGGCACTGACAGCTGCTGGTGGCAAGCACTTCTCCTTTAATGTTTGTCTGGAGGTTGTAATTTTGCCTCTGCCATGAAGTACAGGGAGGTATAACATTCCAGCTTCCCACCTTCTCCCATTGGGCTACCTGGACGGTGAACTGCTGACACGTGACCTGACCTCTTGGACAGTCCTTGACAGTATGAAACATGAAAGGCACACTTTCTGCCATGTGACATATGAATGAAAGGCAGGTTTTAGACTGTAAACAGGTATTGATACTGTGCATGTAAAGACAATGGAATCCAGCAAGCATGTGAGGCAAACTGGTTTGAGAGTAGCACCGACAACAAATGTGAATTTGCACTCGTACATGCATACATACAAGCGTCTAATTCCGCACAGGTTGAGAGAGAATAGGGGCAATGCCCAGCACCTGTAATCTGCAGTGTTTTCCTGCACAGCTTTGCTGTACTGGTCCCTTACAATCACCGTAATTCAGTTCCTGGTTCCACTTCATTGGCTGATAGCACTGTCCATTGTTGTTGCTGTCCTCTATGATGCGCCCGCAGTGACTACGCACCAGCTGATTGGTGTACATCCCAGATACTGGCAGAACAGTTTTTACAGTGACAATGGGCCTAACAATGGATGACAGAACTGGAATACTCCCTGCGGTGTCGACCAGTTACCGATTTCCAGGTCACGTAAGGATTTAAGGATATGGGAATGTGAGAAAGGATGCATGGAATAGTTTGCCAGGATTTGCGGTGGAAGCAGAGACACTTACAGTGTCCCAGCCGCGGCTGGAAATGGTCCTAGACACGGTCTAGACTACAAATAAAATCATGAGCCTAGCTGGGCTGAATGGCTTGGTCACCTTATTACATTCTTATATTTTTATGACGCAATTTAGCACTTTTGGTATCCAACCCTGTACTCCTGTATCCTCATGCTAAAACTCATCACACATTCAGCGGAAAAGTGGCGATTCATTTAAACAGATATACCTGAGTGCTAAAACTACAGAGAGGTATGACGGAAATTAATTCTACTCCCTACTCAATTTCTAAATTAAATGTTATTCCGCGTCTGAGTGAAGGCGTGGCCAGGTCTGTTCTCGGACACTAGGAGTTACCATCACTGGGAGTGCCCATGAGCCTGGACCTGCTTCACAAAGGGCTCAAGCATCTGCTGCATCGCCGAGTCGTTGCGTGGGATCTTTCTCATCAGGGCCTGCGTGGCCAGGATGGAGTCGTTCTCCCCCAAATGCTCGATCATGAGGTCTGCCAGCTGCTGTCTCCCTGCAGCCTCCAGGTCTGCACGGGGAATAGACCGGCACTGTGACGGAGAGGAATTTTTCATCAGCCATTTCATTTTATCGAACTGCTTGCCGGTGAGATCATCCAGGATCTTCATCAGACCACGCCTCCAGGTCTCCCCGGAGATCAAAATCTGACCAGCTCCTGGAACACAGAGGAAATCGGGGGGAAAACACACCCCCAAGAAGACAAGATGACGTCACAGTTGAGCTGAGAAGAACTGCAGAGCATTAGAAAGCAGCACTCTTCATGCAATGCTACTGTAGACCAGGGGCCTGGAAGTTGCCTGGTTTCACTGCCTTGACCTTTGACCTTTCCTGACAGTTTTGGAAGGGTATGAAACAGTGCTGCATCACCAACACCAGGGAATGAAGAAAAGCTGGAGGGGATTGCAGCTAGAAATTAAATTTATGATTCACTTGTATGTTGATGCAGGTAATACAGTATGGTGAATTTTTTTGAACAGTACAAGTATAAATATATAAATAAATTCCAGAGAGTTACGAAGCTAAAAATTAAAATTAAACATAAAAATGCTTTATCATTAACCCATGCAGCCTGTGAGACAGAGATATTGTGAATAGTCTCCAGCTTGGTTCTTTAATTCAGTCTCACAGCCTGATAGTTCTCTATCATGGTGGAAGCCCTAACTCCACTTTCTGCAGTTAGACAGCAAGCGGCGACTCCAAACAGCTTATCCTCAGTGACTTTGTGGGCCATGTTAAATCCTTCAACAATCTGCTGAAACTGACACTTAA